AGCTCGATGCAGTATCTTTTGCAAAGTTATACGGTACATTTAAAATGGCCCACTTTTTCGTTGCGTTTCCCAACTTTTCTGGCTTAAAACCTGTAAAACTGTCAAAAAGCATAAGAAGCCAGACGACCAAGTACGGGAACGCTCTCTGCTAAATTCCTGTAAATTCTTGCAACTTCTTCCGAGTTAGGGAGCGCAACTTTTATTTACTTGCTCTGGCTGCGTCAGCTGCGTGCGTTATGCTGCCGTAGCTCGCGATGCATACAGCAACTCTGTGATGTAAGAATAATTGAATGAACTTGCCTTTGATACTATTTTAGTTGGCCTCTTTATGCAAGTGGTTGCGTATGTACATAAGTATTTACAAGTATAAGTATGTACCTATTATGAGCTATATTAGCATACTAAAACTAATGCATAATTGAATTCATGACCATCGCGCCACTCTGTATTGCAGTGAAAGCTTTCAATTTAGTTTCAATTAAAGCGCGAACCGCGTACCAGGCGAACGGCTACACCGGCTGGCACATACATTTACTTTTGTATGTACAAGTATATGTGTACATATCTACGCCTACATAAGTACCCTGCAGGAAATGGGGCTAGTTTATAGCGAAGTTATAACTACCCAGCAGTCAACTAGTTGTACCTTTTTATTACTTATTTCCTTCGGTCGTAACTAACTACGTATTTTTGAAGGGCGTTGACCGCAAAAAAGTAAGAACATGTTTCGTATGCATTAGATATCAGCTAACTTTTAGCTAACTACTTTTGAACATAAAATACAAATAAAAAGGATTTTTTAATTTTTTAGATTTTTATTTATTTACTTTACATATTTGCATACTTTTTAAATGTTCTGTTGTAGGTGGTGAATTATTTGAATTCCATCAGACATGACTTTAAAATGATAATATAAAATTCCGATCTTCATTTTATTTGTTCCGAATTCGAGAAGGTAATTTTTGTGTGAGAATATTTAAACAGAAGCTTGTTTACAGAAAAAAAACTCCCGGTAACGTCTGCATGACTCACGCATGACTTTACCATTCACTTAAAGTTAGCTTTGTCATAGCTTATTAAAAGTTAATTACACTGGTTTATAGCAAAAATGTTTTATGGATGCCACTAACCAATTCCTATGTAGAATTGCTCGGTGATTCCGAAAATTGTTTAATTTTTATTCTATGGTTAAGTTTTTGAGATATTTGCAATTTACCGTTATTCAGCCTAAAAAAAGAGTGGTTCCTCTCAATCACATACAACTTACGAACCAATTAAACAATCCTAATACGAAATACGGCAAATGAAAAGCAATGAAATTCTTCATAAACCGTTTATACGCTACTTTCGATATTTAGGCCTGATAGTTTCTGAGAAATTAATTAACAATTGGTTCGTAAGAGATACGTGGTTAAGTGGAAACACTCTTTTTTTTTAAGCTGAATAACGGTAAATTGCAAATATCTCAAAAACGTATCCATAGAAAAAAAAATTAACTCGATTGTCTGGAGAACAAAAATGAAACTAAAATTTTGGGTGCAGTGTTATTTATCAAAAACCCGCTAAAAGGCTAACTATAAGTTGGTTATTTATTATCAATTGATAATTTTTTTCTGCAGGGTACATATAGTGGTCACGCAGGCAGGCCGCCCAATATCCACGCCTGTGGATGTGTGTGCGTTTGACACNTTGCTTAATTTTCTTAATTTGCGAAACTACTTGCGCTCCCATATAACAGCCAATATGGATGTATTTCCAGCCAGCCGAACAGCCGCCTATCTGTCCGGTCATGTTGGCAAGCTATGCAATTGCTTAGACGGTCAGTCAATGCGGTCCATTGCCATTGTTGTGCTTGCTTTTCAATTAAATTTTCAGCGCATTTAAATTTCTGCAAATGCACGATTTACATAAGGTTTTTCACATTGCAGTTTATTGTTTTTGCGATACTTGTGTGTTGGAGATTTCCTTGAATGTTTTAATTCATTTAATTCATTCAGCGGATGCTTGCAATTAATTCATGCGTATGAATGTGAGTGTTTAATATGTATATTTTTTACTCCATTTTGCTGGAAAGTAAATTTACTTTTACAGCGTAATAACTGTATCTATATTAGACGGGTTCGCGAAGAAATGTTAGTAATTATGCGGAAAATTCGATTTGGATTATTTTCAGGACCTTAAAATCCTTTTTAAAAATCTTTCATAGGAGATTCTTTTCCTACCAACAATTGAGCATGAAAAGCTCATCTGGGACCACTAGAATCGTTTGCCAGGAAGCCGAGTTAAAAGCATTTTTAACATCAAGGGTTATTATCATGCAGTATTGTATTGTACCCCCCTTCCAGCGTTTACCTTTTATGGCGACCTGCGCTATATTCTTCACCAGTTGATTGGCGTCAACAGTTGATTTTTTCTTTCAAAACCGAATTGATTTTGTGATAGGCCACCACAATCTTCAATGAACTTATTAAGAAGGTTGTATATAATACGCTCCAGGATCTTTCCTGCCGAATCTAGCATGCAGAGTGGAGGGTCGGTCAATGCTTTATTGGGCTTTGGTAGTAGCAGTAGTTTCTGCCTTTTCCATATAGTAGGAAAGTGTCCTTGTATGCTTGCATTGTACAATGCAGCGAAGATGTCAGTGAAGTGACTAATCGCCTTTCAAATGCCACATTAGGAATACAATCAGACCCTGGAGTTTTAGCTGGTTCCAAACTTCTCGTACCTCCTCGTTGTATACGGAGGGGATAATTGGACTGGGTTCTAGATGTACTAGATAAATCTAATGGAGTTCGGGTCATGTAGGAAATAGTGTAAAAACTATGTTTTCCAGAATACTGGGACAAGTTTGCATTTGGCCAGGGTACGGAGTTTCCCCACACGACGTTGTACGCGAGTCCCCAAAAATTTATTTCAACATCGTCGCATAGCTTTAGAGAACAATTAGGATTGCTGCTCTTAATTTCTACTTTTAGCAGATTCCTTTTCTGCCGAAACGATTCTTGGAGATAGTAAAAATTTGCAGAATCTCTTGCTTTTTGGTACAGCCGTCATGAGCGCTGGCATTCCTTGCGCTAGAATTCTATCACAGTGTATGCATTCGGTAAACATTTACACATAAAATCGATTTCTCAGCAAACACCATTTTCATTCAAACGAATAGTTCTTCACTCCTCACTTAACTCCTTCAATTATTCCGAGAGTTCATATGTACCAGCCCTTGTGGTCAGCTGTTTAAGTAAACAAAATGTATTTGAGAGAAAACAGCTGTAATTTTATTTAATCCTATTCGAATCGTGTTTCATTCGATCACGGATACCATGTTCGGGCCCAGTTTTATGTACTACATATACGTTTTTTGTTGAATGTTTTATAAAAAAAAATAATTTATTTCAAGGGGAATTCATATAAGGTGACAAAAGAAGTTCAAAAACAAAAATGCCACTAACAAATTTTACTTATTATAACATCACGATTTACAACAAATACATCACTTTGATATTAAGAATCACCGAGGCGAAAATCCTGCTGCTTTTGTAACAACGACTTACCTGAATTCGCCTAAATGAGTAAAAACTAACTAATATTGTTTCTTTAAAAAAATCTACCAACTTCTACCAATTTTTGCATGTACCACTATTTATTTTTCGAAATCCGCGCACTGCCTCAGAGGGGGTCCCGTACTAATTTGGTTTAGATACGATCACTGGATCAGAAAAAATTAACAGTACTCTTAAATTTTTGTATGAGAATTGAACACCGTTAGGGTGTATTCACATTTTTTAGAAAAATGTTAGGTACGCATTTATATAGCCGTTAAATTTTCGTATGTCAAAGTGCAAATCTTAAGACACTAGAAATTTACGTTGATTTTTTATATTTTTTTTTGCTGACGGTACTAGGCATTTTTTTCATGCACATAAAATCAATTGCCGAGCATACTTTATATGGAAGAAAATGCGCAACACCTGCATGAATGCGATTTTATAGCGCCTTGAAGCTTTTATAAAAAATTATAAAAATTAAGCAAACAAAAGTAAAATATCCTAAACAGTTCACAATATCATCTAACTTAATCAGCTGACCACAAGGTTATGCATATCCTACGTATGCATTGTATACCTCGTCATGACCTTCTACCCACAGCGTTCTATTTTTTATTTAATACCAAAAACACACCAATAAATTAATGTTCTAAGAAACACAGAAATTAATTTTTCTTTTTGATTTATGTGTCATTGCAGCCCACGTGGCGTCTCTGGGGCGAGGAGCACGAGAAGAATGCCATTTTCACTGTCTACCTTAAAAAGGTGCGTATCATCGACCAACACCCACGGCGAACAATGTAAGTGCCCACCCACAGGCTGGCAGGATCGACCACCAGCCGACATATGTAGAACAGAATTTTTAATTAACTTTGTTTGCCTAAAAGGCAATCACCTTGACAGCCCAAATTAATATGCTTAATCAATTTTCTTTACTTTTCTCCTCTCACTCCTTTCGTTTTGCGCACGTCATCACAGGATTCGGACGACGAAATTAGCCACCTGGAATGGGAAACGGTGAGAGTGCGCTTCGTGAAGGCGGCCACATTGTCGCGACTGGTCGAGGCGATTAGCCACCGACGATGGTGAATTGGAGTCGACATTTATCAATGTATTTCTCTCACATATCGCACCTTCTCTACACCCAAAGAGGTGCTCGGTCTGCTCATACGACGCTATGACACACTCAACGACAAACACCTGCAAGAGATCGAAGAACATCAACAACTCGACGATGTCAGCTACGATCCGGCGGCTTCCATACACGAACAGCACAAGAAAACTCTAGTCTCTGCGTTCATGTGTGGTTGGATGGCTTTCCGGAGGATTGGAATGAGGATAGCCTGCGGCAGATATTAACGTTTGCGTCAAAGCGGCTGCCGCGCTCAGAGTTGCATGTGAAGGTATTGCATCGACTGGAGCGCATACTGCGACAGCAGGTGTATGGTGAGGGTAGCATGCCACCTTGGCTGCCGAGCAGTCATGGGCGCGAATGCAAATGGCAGTGGCATGAATATGAGTCATGAGCGTGGGTCTGCATTGCCGCAACACTACAATGCAGAATTCACAGAACAATTTGCGGGGCTCTGCTTGGCGCCGGCGTTTCGTGGCCCGACTCACTTCTTGCAGGCATTCCGCTTTCCACACGTACCGGTGCGACATTTCGCCGAACAGCTGACGCGCATGGACTCGGAGCTATTCAAGCGGCTGATACCACACCAATGTCTGGGGGCGACGTGGGCGCGACGCGATAAAAGCGGCTCAGAAACAGTGGTGGCTACGATAAATCAATTCAATGCTGTACTCTTTAGGGTTATTTCTAGTATACTAATTGAGCCAAGACTTAAACCACAGGTGAGTGGGTTGAGTTGGAAAATATTTTATGGGTGCATTCTGATTTTGCTTCTTTTCATTCACAGGAACGTGCTTTAAATATTGCCACCTGGATTGATATTGCGCAAGAATTGCGGTTGCTAAAGAACTTCTCTTCGCTGAAGGCGATTATTTCGGGCTTGCAGTCGAATCCTATTTACAGACTTTCAAAAATATGGGCAGTGCTACCCAAAGAAAAGGTTTGTGCAATTTTGTACATTAATTTAATGTAATTTTATCGGAGGTGAAGCCACTGCAGCTAATACCTACATTTTTATCTTCCAAACTCAGATGGAGATTTTCAGTGAACTTGCCAGAATATTTTCGGAGGACAACAATGCTTGGGCGCAGCGTGAGGTACTCATGCGTGAGGGCACTGCGAAATTCGCCGATACGGTGGGTGAGCACGATCGCCATCTGCAGAAAATCATACAGAAACAAGTGAGTGCGCATGCGCAATACCAAAACAGTATTGACCGTAGCGAAGGCAAACGACGCAACTGACCTAGACGGCAAACACACCCCTTAGCATTAGCATAGTGCACACTTAGCATATCCCCCTAATTAACTCTACTTTCGTTCCATGTCACAGAGCACGCAGACGTCGCACGGCACTATACCTTACCTGGGTACCTTCCTCACCGACCTGACAATGATACATGCCGCCATACCGGATACGATAGGCGAACACCAGCTCATCAATTTCGACAAGAAGCGCAAAGAGTTCGAAGTACTGGCGCAAATTAAACTGCTACAGGGTGCCGCCAATACGTACAACCTGCGCGATGATCCAAACTTCGATCGTTGGTTCGCCTCAATGCTGGTGCTGGACGAGCGTGAAGCGCATACACTCTCCTGCCAACTCGAGTCGCCCCCACCAGCGCCGCGCAAGTCGACTGCCTCAATTAATACATCGCTCACGAATACGACGATCTCATCGAACTCCATGGGCGTCGGTGGTGTCGGCGGTAATGGTCACCGCAAGACTGATTCGATAGCCTCGAATTCGAGCAGTGGTGCCGGATCACAGTTCTATTGTGAGCTGAACAACAGCTACAGTTCGCACTACAGCTCGCGGCACAATTCACTCGATCGTGATGCGCAGGCGCCGAACGCATCACTGCTGTCTGCATCGAGCAGCGTGTCGAATCTTTCGATGGACTCGAGTAATTCGGGTGGACAGAAGTCGAATACGAAAATGTCACATTCGCATTCGACAAATGGCGTACGTGGTAGCGCGGCGGGACACAACAACTCGCAGCTGAATGTTGGCTCGCCGATTATCAACGCACAGCTGGTGCAATCGCCGGGGGCGAAGACCAACAATGCGCCCGATTTTTACATCATACGCGTGACGTATGAGACGGAGAACGTGGAGTTGGACGGCATCGTGCTATATAAGAGCATAATGCTGGGCAACAACGAGCGCACGCCGCAGGTCATACGCAACGCGATGATGAAGCTCGGCCTCGAGGCGGATCCCGAGCAGTATACGCTGGCACAGGTGCTACCCGACAAGGAGTTGGTAATGCCGAAGAATGCGAATGTCTACTATGCGGTGAATACGAACTTCAATCTGAATTTTATACTGCGGCCGAAGAAGAAAGATGCCAGCACCAATGGTAGCTAGTGTTGTGGGAGGGGAGAAATGGAGTGCGTGTACCGTTTTAAGCTCGTTTTTGTTTCGACCGCTTTGGTGCTTTATACGAGTTGGAGGAGAAATGGGGTTGCGGAGCTACCGCCGCGGCTGCTACGCAACTACAACTACAAAATATATCGTAAAGAAAACACTTAATAATATACACACATACATACATATGTAAAATATGCAGATAGAGCTATTTCATACTCACAAAGATAATTTGCTATTGCAAATCTAAAAAAAGTAATCTCAAATTATGAACCAATATTTAGTGTAAATAATTGTTGTGTTTTAGCTTAATTTTTGTATTGTATTTTATTTCATTTTATAATATTTTTGTATAAATGTATGTATCTTTAAGTTTGCATGTAGTTTACGTAAATTATGTCTGTAGCTTTTTGTATAATTCAAAATTTAGCTTATGTCAGAGCGTTCAAAATGATATTTTATATATATGTAAGTGCTAGGTTTTTGAAAAAATTTAAATTGCTCATTTATTTTGTAGACTAAACGCATAAGCTACGCCGCTTTAATAATGGTTTAAATTAAAAAAGAAAAAAAACAATATTTTAATTTAAATTCAAGATAATACAATAATTGTAATTAAAGGGCAATTTTAATTAAGATTTTTCTGTATAATAAATATTTATAAAGAATTTATAGTGTGGCTCTCTATTTACTGAGAAGTTGTCATGTAATGTGTTACACGAAAATAATTTTAAAAGAGGTTCGAATAAATTTTTTATAAACATTATGATGTAAGAAGTTTATTTTCCAGTTTTGAAAGGTTTATTACACAGAATTTAAAAATAAAATAAACTGAAGTAAAATATTAATAATAATAATAATAACAATAGATTGGCGCTTACGCATATGTTAGTGTTTGGCCGAGCTTCTCCTCCGATTTGTGGCGTGCGCCTTGATGTTGTCACACAAAGCGGAGGGACCCACAGTTTTACGCCGACTCCGAACGGCGATTGTATTTTTATGAGATGATGTTTTTCATTTCAACTACCATATTTCTTACCCTAATAGATCCAAACTTACAATACTAAAACTAAAATTTTTAAAAATCAGTGGGGTTTGATTTGCAGAGTTTGCTTGACGCACCGTCTGGCAACTGGAATACACGTCCGCATGGGCGTAGCCAGGTGGGGGCGGTGGGGGTTTGTGTACTCGAGCCCCCCCTAACTTTCAAATTTTCCTTATATATATATAAAATAGTACCCTGAAATGCCAGCTTAATAGGGTCTTCACTTGGTTCTAGATTTATGATAAAGTATCTCATTTCTATTTGATTTAATGACAGATTTTACAAAGGGAAATTACTTGATTTCAGCATGATTTGCTTATAAATTACAATTCAGCCGTAAATTACGATAATCTGAACGTGCTTTTAGTTCTAGTCAGTCAAGAATGATAGAATACTCTCTCTACATCGTGCTCGTCAGTCATGTGGCTTTTCTAGGGTCGAACTTTGTTTTAGTAAACTACATCGGGGAAACTTGTACGTCCACTTTGCCTAAAATTAAAGTTTTCCATGGTAGACAGAAAGAGCTTTGCGGTGGCTAATTTACCAAAGCTACTTTCGCGTGCAACAATTTTATACCCATTATAGTTTGAGGTATTGGTTTATCATGCCCATTGTCTTGGTTATTTCCCGATGGGGCTGAACGTACACTCAGAAACAAGCATTTCCTTGTAACAAGAAACCAGAGTCCTTATTTTAGAGTTACTATTTTTTCCTTAATATTACGAAAAATTTACTCAATTTGAGAAGTTTTTCCTTAATTCAGGTAATTTTGTCAGTGCTGTTAAGACGAAGTTAATTGGTTTCCTGGCAAATGTCGGCCATGGCGTTCGTGAGGCCTACTGCTTCTGAGATCGCAGGGTCGAGTCCGGTTGTAGGTAATTTAGAGTAAGGTAAGACAATTATTTCATTTCCGATATAAATTACAAATTGTAAAACTAATTTCATATATGGAAAAACCTAAATACTCAAATACCTTAAAAAATAAGACCTAAATTTTTTACAGACAATTTAAAAAATTACAAAAACAAAAATAAAAAAATATTAAAAAACAAAAATCCTGCTCTGGGACTCGAACCTTGCATCTCTCTACTGGTACTGCAGAGCTTTGCTCTTTCGGCCATTGCGACTGCTTTCTCTTCACAGCAAGTTAATTTTTCCTAAGAAGAAAGAAAATACTACTGAAAACTCTGTAAGGTATTGAGTTTTCCTTAAACTCAGTCAAATCGTTTATTCATATTAAGGCAGCCATATCTTTGGAGCCATTCCAAGGTAATATTTCCTCAGAATAACATTTTTATTTCCTAGCATCAAGGATGGTTTTTCTGAGTGTAGCATAACTGATTCTAAATTATCAAAAAATTCTAGTCAATTTGATGGAGAAGCCCAAAAACGGCAGCACTGGTTAACTCTGTACTGAATTATAGTTGAGGCATTTTTCGCAAAAAAAAAATATATATGAACATTTTTTCATATATGCGAATAATTATACTTTTAAATTTGCGGCAGAATGAACTATAAAAACTAATGAATCTACTAAATTTTTAGATTTTTTTTTAAGGAAGGAAACCAGGAATAAAATCTTTGAAAGCAAATCGCTTGTACAGATAAACATTTATTTTGTGTTTTAACGAAAATAAATTAAATATTTTTCTCTTCAAAATACAAATAACTTCAAAAAGGTCAAACTAAACGGTAAGAACTAAAAGGCGGTCTCATAAATGTACTAACTACCCTTTTATTAATGTACCATATCCATAAACTAATATGAGCAAAGTCCTACAAAAACACTTGTAAATATATGCATATTCATGTGTACATAGTAAAGTATTTAGCCAACAAATGCATTTTACGACTCCTCAGTTCACTGTCTGCTAAAAAGCGGCTTCAATTAGGGCATTTTGCCAAATTCTATGCGCGTACACATTTTTGAATTTTTTTCTACGCGCCACTGATTGGCCATTGGCGATATTGGCACCACAAAATGTTGGCCACCAATTATTTACTGCTTATATGTACAATTCTTGGCTATTACTGTACTTTTTTGAGCAAGCATGTTAAATATACAAATGAGCATTATTTTCGAAATTAATAGGCGCCTTTACAACGCGACCGCATAATTAGGTTGAATAAAAAAAGGAAAATATGAAAAGCACAAACGATTGCAATAAAAGCGTATCATTATATACATACCATAAATTCTTTTATTTGGTCAATAAATAGTTACATACTTTCGATTTCCAGCCACTATTAGTTTATACAAAATGAAGGCATCTTAAACTGCTTCTTGTGGGCCTCAACTAAATCATACATATTAGACCATAAAGATACTACCCCCCTGGGCTTCAGTTATAGAAAAAAAGCCTTCGTTTCATGATATTTCCAAATAAATTAAAATGTATCAATTGATAGAAAAACACAGAAATATTCTTAGAGCTCAATATAACTTAAAATATTTATACTAAATACATTTTTACTCAATTTAATATTCACATCGGAAAGCTTAAGAGAAATTCTTTCTAAGGCAGACATAGAAAACTAAATTCCTGCGCGCGGCAAAAATGGAAATTACGAAAAGGGACAAAATGATACTAGTACGATACTTTTCGTCCGATACCAAGTAATTTTGGTATCGATACTTTCGAATCGAGTACTGAGTAGGTATCGGAAGAAAGTACTTGTATCTAAACCCGATTCTGTGACAATTTTATTCCCGGTCTTTTACTTTTTAACCTAATTATTATTGTGAATAGCTAAATATTTTTGCCAGTTTAGTTGCCAATGAACAGAAAGTCCACAAAGAAAGACCTATTATCATCTGATTAACATAAAACTAAAAAGGTAAATTAAAAACGCAACGTCTCCAAAAGGATTAGCTAACGTTCTATTTTTATCTCTTCCCGTTTATATGCAATTAAAGGTAAATTTACTAAGTCCAAAAGAGGCACGGAAGAATCGACAAGCTCACAAAAAATTCTAAATCCTTTAATTTGCAACGAAACGTGCTGCGAAATTCTTGAAGGGCATGTTTTGAGAGTTTTTTTCTACCCTGTAAATTTTCTGCAAATGGACTTAGCAACTTTTTACTCTAAGCTGGCGATAAAAATGCAACTTTGTCCTTCAAAAATTATCAACATGATTATTTATTTCAGAAATATACCGCAAAAATGCTCTTGAACAGATAACTTCTATTAACCAATTAATTTGTATGAAACAAATTATAAAATAATTGTTTTTGATCTCAATCGTTTTCTCTTTGTATAAAATAAATATTTATGTATAACAAATAACATACGTATGTACATAAAAAAGAATCAAATTCTGTTAGCAAAACTCTGGGAGACTTTTTGAAAAACAACAGTGTTTTGGGCCAGTTTCACCAAATTATTTAAGTGAAAATTACTTTAATTTCGGTTTCACCAATCAATTTTAATTTTGATTTAAGTGACCTATGCTCTGCACTTAAATAAAAGTTAAATCAGAATAACCACACTCAGAGGTGTTACACGTTACACGTCACCTGATCATTGTGCATCTGCTGCTTACTTGTATACCAGCCCTGCTTTTACAACACAGCGTGCCAAAGCTTTCAAAAGCTCTCAGTACAAATGAAAGCGAAAGCTAGTCCTAGTCTGTTTTACAACCACTTTTTACTCACTTAAATAAATAGTTTATTGAAACTGAAAATAATTAAAATGAGATTTAAATAAAAAATTAAATTAAAGTTAATTTCCACTTAAATAGTTTGGTGAAACTGGCTGTTAGTGAAACATGTTTTAAAACTTAAAGTTTTAGTTGATAGTCACACAAGTAATTTTGAAAAAAAAATAAATCATAGATATGTGATGGCGTTTTTTATACAAACAATTCTTATATAGGTACAGTTATCGATATAAGTAGGTATCGCTACTTTTAGCCCGATACTTAGTAGATCACGATACTTTCTTTCGATGCTACTTTCAAGTATAGGCATCAATACTTCCATGGTATGGTTTTATCCCTAATTTTGAATATCCTGTACCTTGACCACCTTGACCACCCGGAGCACTAGACCTCTTCACAATTCGCAATAAAAATAAAATTTTCGCAATAAAAATAAAATTTTTGCAAAAAAAAAAGATTTTTAACACCTAGCTAGTTATAGAAAAGGACAACTCTCCAATGCATTGCAATGACCCAGAAAAAATATATAATTTTTCTAAATAAATACTGGCATGCTACTATTCATGCTACATATGCTTTACTTCCTCTTTTTTCCTCCCACACATTTGACTTCGTCGCTCACTGCAACTGTTTCGCTTCTTAAGTTTAGCCTTTCATTTAGCAAATTGGCAATGAATTTTTTTAGCAAACAACACTGCTAGCATTCATAGCTACCAACCTTTGACGGCTCACTGTGAAGGCACTAGGAACTACATACATACGTACACATATATAAATACGTTTTATGTAATGAAATTTTTGGAATTTTATGGTATTGGAGCATTTGTAACACAAAACAATGCATGTTTGTATGTACTCCTGCAATAAACTTCCTTGCCGGTGCTTAAGTATTTCCAATTTGGCTTAGGCTGCAAGCAAATGAAGGTTAAGGTGATTCATTCACGGCTAAGAACGTCAAGTGCAAGCGTGTTATTACTCTTGTAACACATTTAGATATCAAAATACATATATACATAGTACATATGCAAATTTGTGCCAGCAAACCAGCACCTGCATGCATACAAACATATGTATGTACGAATGTATGTATATCTATTTTAGGGTACAAATCTATAATGCAATTTCGGGCTAAATT